CAGAAGCACTCTGACTGATCTACACCTGCAGGACGTTCTCACCCTCTCAGTTAGTCAGCTTCAGCCTGACATTGAGAGGCTGGTCAAAGCCAAAGACCAGCTTCATGTGTCTCACTAATAGTGTCAAACTGCTGCTGTTTGCTGTTAATATGGACATGCATATGGACATAATTTGTGGTTAAATAAAGATTAATTTGCTTTGTATTTGCTTTTGTATTTGCTTCCTGTTTTTTGTACAAAGAGTGAAATGTTAAATACCTTTATAATAAACACATATCAATCAGAAAGTGCACCAGGAATTCAGGAGATTTGTCCTGAATTACCAGCCAGCTGTAAACTACAAGTCCCATTCCACAGCCAGAGGATCACTCCTCCCATTAGCTTTGGCAAAGTGCCATCTACAAATGTGAGATCTGTGGTCGTCAGGAGGCCCAGCTGAGATGAGACCCTCTGTCACTCAAGGCAACACATGTCATAAACTCATTGTCATGCCATCAATCTGGGGACATAACCACCTCCACAGCAGATGGAGGCCCAGCAGGAAGACAGGGGGCCATGCCCCAAGCCTCTGCCCCACACAGAGTGCATGCAGCAGGGGTAAGAGGGGCTACAACTATAGGGGAGCCCCTATACCCTAGACCGGACCTCCTGTGGATACACCTTTGGATGAAGTCACAATGTTGTCCATGATTAATTAAAGACAAATGTACTGTAAGTATGCCATTAGTGCTGTGTGAGCAAAGATGCTCTTTGAATGTTTAGCTCACTGAAAAACTATTTAAAAGTTTAACATCACAGATTGTCTCCCTAGACAGCCTCACCTTTATATCAGTAATAACTCTGCATCACAACTGCATCTATCACTTAATATGTAAAGGTCTAAAACTATAGTGAGAAAAAATGATCCTTTCCACATTTAAGTATGAAAACAGTGACAAATATGATCTGCAGGGGAAAAAGATGTCTTGTCTCCCTTGAATGGGGATATGTAATATTATTCATAATAAGACCCCCTACTGGGGGCACTGGGAAAACTGTTCCTTAGCAACAACATACATGCTCTTATAAGGTACATCTTGGGAAATTTTGACTGGATTAGGATGCAAATAACAGAAAACCTTTAGCTAGACCAAATATGCTCCCTCTGGCTGAGTATCTGGGTGTCTCGTCTGGCACAGGTCCCTCCAACTAACAATACATACTGTATAACAACAAAACTCAATCATGACAGTACAAGCAAGCTTGTGCTATTCTAAACCAAGTCTCAGCCCTTTTCACTTTGGTTAAAAATGTTAGATTTACGTATAATTAAGGCTAAAGGCTAAAGATCAAGTCACACATAAATACTTTCTAAGCTCTTAAAAATACATGACAGATTTAAACGTTACTGTACAATGGATACTTTGTACTTTTCACAGGTCATAAATTGGACAGTTGTGCTATGTGATTCCTGTTCTCCCTCCAGCTATCAGAAGCCATTTCACATTATCAGTTGATGAGAAATGTCTGATAGTTCAGGTGTATTAAGGAAGTTTTATGCCCATTTCAAAGTCCTGCACTTAGTCAGGTACCCGTGAAAAATGATGTTTAACAAGTAAAAAATATGTTATAAATAAATAATGGTTCAGTGTCTTTTAAACATCAAAATTTATAAGATCTAAATAAGCGATATATTTATTGTGAAGGGCTACGGCAAAGCCTTTGAGTCCTCAGCTCACATCCAGCTAATAGGATGTTGTCGGCTAGGCACCAGTGGATCAGACTGGATAAGTTAAAACCCAAAACAGACAGTGGTGAATACAATATTGTGGACAATAGCTTACATCATTGAAGGCCAAAATTTGACATATGGGAGAAGTTCAGTGGTTACAGGCAGTGAGAACAATGTTATCCAACGCTTTGCTGCTTGTAAACAGTGCCAAAAAGAAAGAGACAGAGCTAGGCACTTCCTCACTAAAGCAGCTGATTTAGAAGTAGCTCCAGATGATGGGTCAGGTCTGACACAGAGCTTTGTGGGTGCGGGGTGGGTACAGGTTTTCAAAATGGGACCCTTACAGGACTCTGGCTCATTTAATGTCCTGTTCATGACTGTGCATTGTGGGATTAGTGAATATTAGAAATGATATATTTAGAGAAGAAAAACAGACTCAGTGATAAGGGTTAAGAGTATACATGTAGCCTAGCACTCTGCTTTCCTCTGAAGATGTTATCTGCACTGTATGATGCAAAACTACACTATGGACACTTAAGTCCATCTTGCCATTATCACTTCACTGTATGAGCTTGATGATAGTGCATTGTGGGATTAGTGAATATTAGAAATGATATATTTAGAGAAGAAAAACAGACTCAGTGCTAAGGGTTAAGAGTATACATGTAGCCTAGCACTCTGCTTTCCTCTGAAGATGTTATCTGCACTGTCGTGAGGACTGTATGATGCAAAACTACACTATGGACACTTAAGTCCAGTCTCTCTCAGGTCCTCTACCAGAGGCCTGAGAGCCACCATTCAAAATCCTTATTTTCTTTCATGGAAGATGCAGCTATTTGTAAAGAGATTGCTGTGGGTAAAGATGCTCCCTTAACTATAATCTGCATCAGAGTTTGGTGTCACCAAGTTACTAGTCTTTAACAGTTTGTCTATAGTGTGTACCCATTTTTTTGCTACTGTAAGACTGAGGAAGAGACCAGCAGAAAGGCTTCACCGCCCTCTTGTGGTGAAAAGGTGTCAAATACACCCAGCTCTATCAGTCTACCTTAGAAGCGGCCTTATATGGATCTCAACATGTGTGTGTGGATGTCTGTCATATCAGGAGAGAGAGTAGAAGTGTGGGCCAGCTAGAGGGAACTAAAGATACCAACAAACAAACTGACAACATATCCATACTCCATCAAATCTGCACATCTGGGTTTACCAAAATGTAAATCTGACAACTCTTATTCAAAACATGCCGGATCAAGTTATTTTGATGCTTTACTTTTACAGAAGGATACATTTTTCATGTTTTCCATCAGAAGTGATGACATTCCTCAAATCAGCCCCGACCTACTCAAATATTACAACATAATATACTCACACCATCTCAATGTTTATAGTTTTATTTGTAGACAATACACAGTGCAATGCTGAATAAACACTGTGTGAGGGTTTGGCGGGATGTGACTACTGTTGGTGCCATGGGTAGAGGTATGGATTTGGGGAGGGCCTCATATAAAAATTTTGCTTATGGCGCCAATTTGACCAGGGGCGGCCCTGCCTGTTCTTGTACTCTGAGGTGGTCGAGAACGACGCT